CAAAACTTGGAAGGAATCACAGCATCTTTCAGTGAGTGGATAAACGTGGTACACCCAGACAATGAAATATTATTTAGCACTGAAATGAAAGGATCAAGCCATGAAAAGACATGGAGGAAACTTACATGCCTATTACTAAGTGAAAGAAGCCAATCTGAAAAGGCTGCGTACTGTATGATTCCAATCATATGATATTCTGGGGAGGGCAAAACTAAGGAGACAGTAAAAAGATCAGTGGTTGCCAGGGGATGCAGGGAGAGAGAGCTGACCAGGTAGAGCACAGAGGATTTTTAGGGTAGTGAAAATACTCTGTATGATACTGTGATGGTAGCTATACGTCATTACTCATTTGTACAATCCCACAGAATGCACAGCACCAAGACTGAACCTTAATGTAAACTACAGACTTTGATAATGACATGATGTAGGTGCATCAATTGTAACAAATGCACTGCTCCGGTGGGGGTGTTGTTAATGGGGGAGGCTATCTATGCCTGTGTCAGGGCAAGGGACATATGGGATATCTCTGTGCCTTCCTCTCAATTTGGCTGTGAACCTAAAACTACTCTAAAAAATAAAGTACTTTAAGAAAGTGATTATGAAGACAAATAATTTTAAAACGGGCAAAGGATCTGAATAGACGTATCTCCAAAGAAGGTATACAAATGGCCAACAAGCACATGAAAAAATGCCCAATATCATTAGTCATCAGGGAAACACACATCAAAACCACAATGAGATGTCACTTTATGCCCACTGGATGGCTATAATAGAAGTCAGATAATAAGAAGTGCTGGGGAGGATGTGGAGTAACAGAAAGCCCTGTACACTGCTGGTGGAAATAGAAAATTGTGCAGCCAGTGAAGCAGGTTCTCAACAAATTAAACATAGATTTACCATTTGACCTTGGAATTCTACTCCTAGACATCTATCCATAAGAAACACAGACATATGTTCACACAAAAACTTGTATACAAATGTTCACAGCAGTATTATTCACAATAGCCAAATGGTTGAAACAACCCAAATGTCCATTAACTAATGAATGGATAAACAAAACATGGTATATACACACAATGGGATATTAATTTGGCCATAAAAAGGAATAACGTACAGCTATATGCTACTACATGGATGAACCCTGAAAACATGCTAGGTGAAATAAGCCAATCACAAAATGCTACACATTTTATGATTCCATACATACGAAATGTTCAGAATAGACAAACATGGAAACAAGATTAGTGCCTGTTTAGGGCTGGAGGTTGGAGGGGGGCTTAGGGAAATGGGGGTGATAGCTAAATTGTACAGAGATTCATTCTGAGGTGATAAAAATGTTTTACAAGTGATTGTGGAAATGGTTGGACAACTTTGTGAATACACTAAAAACCACTAATTGCATGGCAAGTGAATTATATCTCAATGAAGCTATTACCAAAAAAAGTGATGAAGTTCAGTTTTATCCTTCTGGATACTATTGCCATAGAGTCTTGTCCTTGCTTATTATGTTCAGTCTTTGACTCTCTGACTCTTCTCTGTGTGTCCTTTTTACACAGAGAAAACGCTGTGCAATCTCTGATTTTTCCTTTTTTTTTTTTTTGACATAGGGTCTCAATTCTGTCACTCAGGCTGGAGTGCAGTGGTGTGATAGCTCACTGCAGCCTCGACCTCCCAGGCTCAATTGACCTGCCTGCCTCAGCCTCCTGAGTAGCTGGGACTACAGGAGTGCAGCACCACTCCTATCTATCTATCTATCTATCTATCTATCTATCTATCTATCTATCTATCTATCTATCTATCTGTCTGTCTGTCTGTCTTTCTTTAATTTTTTTTGTAGAGACAGGTTTCACCATGTTGCTTAGGCTGGTCTCAAACCCCTAGGCTCAGGGTAATCACCCACCTTGGCCTCTCAAAGTACTGGGATTACAGGCATGAGCCACCATCCTGCTTTCGTTTCACTGGTATGAGTAACGGTTGTACTCCCGAAGTTCATTATTAGGGGATGGTGGCACACTAGTGTAGAGGCTAACAGCGTGGACTTGGGAGCCAGACCATGGACCACCTCTACCACTTACTAGCTGTGGAACCCTGGACAAATAATCTAATCTGTTTGAATTTCTGCATCTCAAAAAAGAAAACAATGAAGAGGCAATACATTCAAGGACCTTAGAAAAGTACGTAGACTAAGAAGTCCTCAAAAAAGAGCACTTTTCCTCTTTTTACTGGTGCGAGAGATGGTTGCAGAGCCAGAATTTCATTATTTTTTTTAAAGTCGTGAAAATAGCACAACACTCTCTTTCTCATATAACCTGTTTCCCGTCTTTGGGTTCCTTTCACTATCCAATCCTTAACTGCTGATCTTCTAGGAGGTCTGATCTTCTTCCCAAATAATCTCATCTACTTTCACTGGTTCCACAACTACCCATATGTATGTCATTCCACCAGGTGGTGTACATATGATGTTGTCTATCTTGATTTTATCTGACCACCTGCTTGACAATTTCTATGTGGACATCCCATAGGTGCTCCAAACTCCTCTTCTTCCCCCAACTCTAATTCTTCACTGCAGTTGGTGGCACTACTATCACACCCTGTCCCTCAAGACACAAATCTGGAAACAACTGACTTCCACCTACACTCATATCCCATCAATCCCCAATTTCTGCCAATTTTCCCTCAGAACTCTGTTTCATCATTTTTTTCTCCACCTTGGATGCATTTCAGAATCATCTGGGAGGCTTTGAAAGACCCCCTTGATCAGGCCGAACTTCAATCCATTTAAATTAGGACCCCAGCGACTCTAGATTTTTAAAGTTTCCCAAGTGATTCCAACATACAGCTGAGCTAGAGAATTTCTGACTCAGCCCTGGGCCTGCCTCTCAAGCCTCAACTTTCACAGTTCCTAGCTCTGTTATTTCCATTCTAACAATACTGAAATGCTTACGATGACACTTCCCCACTTCCCCACCATGCCGTTTCTTGTCTTTATCATACACTCCACCATCCTACCCACCGAATCTGGCTTATTGCTACTTATCTTATGGACCTGGCAGTTGCTTCCTCCAGCAAGTCTCTCGTTCACCAATCTATGGTTGAATTTGGTATTCCTTCTATGCAGTCCTTAAGTGCCTGGTAAATATCTATCACTGTGCTGAATATGCTGTTTTATAATTATCTCCATATGGGCCTAATCCCCTCAAAGAACTACGTACCACCTAAGACAATGGCCACTTGACACTCAGTTTTGTATCTCCAGCACCTGCTTGGCCTTATGTAAACACTTAATACAAGTTAGTTGAATAACTTTCCAGAGATGAGGAAAGGCTTTTTGGAAAGAGGTTGGTTGTGCTAGATGTTGATGGATGGACTGGATTTAGATCCGTATCTTTCTTTCCACCCAAGGGCTTATATAACCACCAACAC